GTGTGCGCGTGTGTGGTCTTCTTGTTTTGCCTTGTTAGCTACTGTTCTTTTATGTTTTTCAAGGTGGGGGATGTTAAATGAGCTCTTTTTGTATGAATTCTATTTTTCAACAACTTGCCGAATAAGGAGGCCGACTTTTGTTATGAAGTGGTAAGGCACTTTTTCGCCGTGCTCAGAAGACCCAAATTCGATTCCCGTATAATGAGAACTTTTATCAGGTATCTCGGTCTACTCACCAAGAAGTAGAGCGCTTCTCAGTCCAGAAAAGGCTCCTAATTAAAATTGATCTAAATTGATCTAAAATGTGTCGATAGGGGCATAAAATCATATACAATAAAGAAATAGAATGTGGACCACTTGACCCAGAGGTGTTCACGTGGACAAGCATGAAGAGGAGAGAAATGACGACTGAGATCCTCCTCCCTCCCCCCCCCCTACACACACACTCACCGTTTCAGCGAAGTCATAAGTTCTGCTCATGTGCATTCGATCTATTTACCATCCCCAGGCTCTCTGGGATGGGGTGGGGGTGATATTATTGAACCAAAAACATTAAGACCAATGTGTCTAGTATGTTTGCTTTTTGGTTATTTTTTCCAAGAACCATATATAAAAGCTGACAGGTGGGAATTGTGCGCATTTTCTGGTCACATAGTTGTTCAGAGAATTTCCTGAGACGACCCATAAAAGCGTGCCAGTTCTTCAAACATGTATAAATTAATGGCTTTGTTCTTGTTTTGTGTTTTTGTTTGTTTTTTGTTTTTTGTTTGTTTGTTGCTTTTTATTGTTTTTGTTTTGGTTTGGTTTAGGGTTTTTTTCGTTTTTTTATATTGAGTTAGCTCTTCTGTTTTGTCAAATCCCTATTTCTTAATGCTTTTATTGACAACAACCTGAGAACTGCTACAAAATATGCATTGCTGATATCTACATCCATTTCTCTAAAAATGCATTGTAAAGCGGAATTCTAGCTTAAAACAAGTGCACTCCATACCTTTGATTGTGCAGTTTTGTTGTTGCTGTTTTTGCAACAACCTATAGAAGATTATACAATGTATCAAACGAAAACACTCTTCTCTTTGATCTCGCAATAGGTCCAAAATAATGCGTTTTATTCTGCCCTTTGCTTGCGTAATACATACTAATCCTACGTGCACGTGCACTTTCCAGGTACCCGGAAGAACACCCAATCCCTGCTAATACCCATTGAAACAAAAAGACGTTATCGCTGGAACACATGGCGGCATCGTAGTTTCAAACTATAGCACGCTAATCAAATCAGCGAGGCCGATAGTAGAGGCTGTGCGGAGACTTTATTTTGTATGGCTATGGCTCGGTTGAATCATGCCTAATCAATTGTATTGCAGATTTTATCCTTTACTGCCTCGATTTAATATCAATGATTAGGACGATCCATAACAAGGAACAACACGTTTATGATATCCTCATCATCCTTGATTAATTCTGCTGTAATTTAGCTTCTGCGCAAGAGGCCGAATGCATGCATTGCAACTTTGGGGATTCGCTATAATATTATGATAATCAGGAACTTTGTGATGAACAGGGGATAGAAAGGGGTTTGGGTGGTAGGGTGGAGGGCTATGTGGTCCAGAGCTCGGAAACTTGGAGAGCATAACACATAGTGAGGGGCGGTCGCGTGGCTATGACAGTTTCTTACAATTATCTTTTTAAAAAATATATTAATATTGATTTACGTTTTCCATGACACAAAATACATAATATCAAACGCAAGTGGATCATAGAAAGATGTCAGCTCTCTTTTGCAAAAACAAGAATTAAATAAATAGTATAATAAAATCTATTTTTGTGGTTATGTGAATTTAGATAGTAAATCTAGAACCGAAGAATTTTCTAGAAAGAAGAAAGTCCTCAGGGGGCAGGGGGCGGGAGGGGGTGTAAAGTATGCAGCTATGAACTCTTCAGAAGTATTTCTTTGTAATCCAAGTGGCGTTGTTTTGTATGCGCCACTCGAACCAAATTTGTCTGTTCTGACTCTTATCTTAACAGAATAGTATTCGTTTTGATCCCCCCCCCCACTCTCTC